TTAACGTTAACGAACACGTTCGTGAACGTTAATGAACGCTTAACAAACGAACACGAACAGGATTTTCAAAAACCTTAACAAACGAACACGAACATAAACACTCCAAATTCCTTAACAAACGAACACAAATAACCTCCGTTCGTTTATGTTCGGTTCGTTAACAGTCCTAATACTCAAAAAAAAAAAAAAAAATGCAGAGTTAAAAGATATGGAGTGGCTACTAACTACTTGAGCCATGTGGACCATGTGGTATGTAATATTGATGCGTCGCGGTTACGTGATGTTTTAGAAAGTAGTTCAATGTCAACATTAGTATTTAGTAATATGTAATCAAACATAATGAATGTGATGACCCTATACGAGGTTGATGGGGCATGCGTGTATGTTGGGTCAGAGACGTTGTATTACGACGGATCGATCTTTGGAGGGTAATTGTGTAATTTCAGGGAAATATGGGGAGAGGAGGAATTAAATTTGGGTTGTTCAGACAAGGGTGGCACTGTCTTTACAACCATTAATTATAATCAAATAAATGCCATAGTAATTGAGGCGGCTGAGTATAGTGAATGAATGCCATAGGAGTTCAATGCCCATTGTATCTCTCTTTGTTAAATTCAATTTTTGGAAAATCTTCACAATATTATTAAACTTAGTCTAAAACGACATTCAGATTATACACCTACAGCTAACACATTATGTATATTCAGTTATTTCATAAACCTAAGAGTATGATATCTTATAGCTTCACAGTTACAAGTCATTTTAATAAATATGTACCTATTACAATTAACATAATATATACATATTACAATTAACATATTATGTACATTCAATTTATTTATAGTTACATAAAATGTTAACTGCAAATATATAATTTAAATATCATTTTAAACTAAGACCTCTCATTGGCAATACTTCTCTAACCCCAAGTGACATATGAGATAAGGGCAACCCTATTTCTTGATTTTGGAAGAGTTTTTTCAAAAGAAAAAAATTGAGATAGGTTTTTGAATAAATGGGGATAGTGGTTTTTTTGGGTATTTTTTTCCAGCAAATATAGGTTCTTTGTGAGACTCATTAATTGAGAAATAAGAGAACAAAACGTGCAATTTGCGTGTGTCTGGACGCGTAAATGCTGCCTTTTTTCTCTTTTCTTTTCTTTTTTTTTTCCTCCCTCCCATTTTCTCTTTCTCCGTTGGTCTTGTAAAAATCAAAATAAAAAATTTCACTGATGTTGCTCTAAAGGCAATCAAGAAATTATCATCTCGAACGTATTTATTATACTTGACTAAACTCGTAAGTTTTCAAATAAGAAAATATTTGTCAAGCCAACTTAACGAAGAGGGGTGATTATAAGTCTCTTACCATCCTTAAGCCTATACTCCCTTTATCCAGTCGTTATATGGTGGACTATGATCCAAAAACGGCGCCGTTTCTTTAAGTAAAGAAATTCAACTATCGTTACACCTTAACAGATCCCATATTTTTTGTGTGTTAATTACAAAATGCAACTATAGTGTATCTAAAATGAAACTATCTCACATATTGTTTTTATATTATCAAATGAAATGTAATTGAATTGAAATGAAACTGTGGTGTATATAAAATGAAACCAAATAATAGTTTTACATATTTGAGTGTATATTGTCCAATGAAATTGTAGTTATATCGAAATGATATTGTAGTTGTGTTGTATGAAACTAGAGTATATATAAAATGAAACTGAATAATAGTTGAACATATTTAAGTGTAAAATGTCGAGTGAAACTGTAGTTATATCGAAATGAAACTGAATATGTTATACAAATAGAGCTACTTTATGCGGAACGAGTGTTGTTTCTTTTCATTAAAAGATACGGCACAGTTTTGGACCATGGTCCACGGTATAATTTGCCCCCTTTATCGGCAAATTATTGTGTGGACCGCGGTTCAAAACGACATCGTTTTGATGTTTAAAAAAATTCTTTGTTCCGCACGCGTGTTAGAATAATAAACATTTTGGGATAAGATAATGTATTTTATGAGTTAAAATAATGTACTTTATATGCTAGAATAATATATTATGAGTTAGAATAATGTATAATATACTTTATGTGTTAGAATAATAAAATTTCTAGAATAAGATAATGTATTTTATGAGTTAAAATAATATAATTTATGTATTTTTTTTACTGTGATCAACGGTCCATGCAATAATGATTGCCCTTTATCCATCAAGGAGTAAACCTTCTTCCAATTAATTAGATGGATTCTCTTTTTACCCTACCCATCTCTACGTACATAAGAAATCCATATAGTGTTCCCAAAATCCATACATATTTTGTCAATGCCATTACAAACACCAACCAGGACATTGGAACGATTGCTATATTCAATAATAAAAAATCTTGTCAGACTAAGGTACACTTCCGCAAATTATGTTGTGCAATTGTGTGCACTATGCAATTGCAAAAACAACGTCGTTTGACGTCCGACATTTAAAAAAAAAAAAAAAAATCAGTTTCGATTGCCGTTAACAGCGTTATGTTGTGCACAATTTGAATTATATAGTAAATTCATTCTAAATATATAATTCATTCATTCTGGATATATAGTTCAAATTATGTACAACATAACGCCGTTAACGGCAATCGAAACTGAATTTTTTCTTTAAAGTCGGACATCAAAACGACGTCGTTTTTGCAACCGTGTGCACCATGCATGGTGCACACGGTTGCACAGCATAACACTTCGTACAATCGTACACTTCGAAGGCAAATTATATCGTGCACCACGATGCATAATCGATTATGCACCGCGCATCAAAATGACGTCATTTTGTTTAATGAAAAGAAACGACATCTGTTTCCCGTCGTTCCGCACCCTTCCGCAAAAAGTAAATCTGTTATTCAGTTTCATTTTGTATACACTGCAGTTTCGGTTCAACACAACTACAGTTTCATTTCGATATAATTACAATTTCATTTCGATATAACTACAATTTCATTCGATATTTATAGACTCAAATATGTGAAACTGTTATTTAATTTTATTTTATATACACTATAGTTTTATTAAAACACAACTACATGATCATTTTAATATAATTACAGCTTCATTGTACAATATACACTCAAATATGTGAAATGTTATTCAGTTTCATTTTATATACACTGCAAATTCATTTTACCACAACTACAGTACCATTTTGATATAACTGCAGTTTCATTTGATAATATATAAAAATAATACGTGAGGCAGTGTCAATTTAGATATACTGTAGTGTCAATTGATAATAAACATATACAAAATGCGCGCTCCATTAAAACTAATGGTGCCGTTTTGACCGCGATGCACATACACCACGGTCCACGATATAACGACCCACTTCGAACCAAATCTGTTCCAACAAGCTCAATAAAAATTTCAATAATATGAGCCCACCACATTGTAATAGGTCCAATTAAAATCCCATTATAAGAAACTGCACCGCAGAAAGCCCAATCCTTTGCGTTTAATTAATTGTTCTCATTTTATATATATGGATATATTAACAAAATTTTACTAAAATTATTTGTAATTTAATTTTGAGTTTAGTATTAATATATAAAATTTATATATTTAGAAATTATATTAAAATTATTATTACACACAAAAATAAAAGATTAAAAATAATAAGAAAATATTAACAAATAAATAAAGTATAAAGATTCATTTGACCAATGGATAGTAAATATAAAATGTAAACTGTGACAAAGGAGGTAACATTTAACAAAAAATTAAAAATACAACAATAATTTCGTTTTCAACGAAGACCACATACATAGAAAATTCATTTTTTAAAAATTAATTCGTGATTTAATTCCTCAATTTATAATATAAGACTATAAATAGGTTAAGTCTTTACATAGTTGACACGTGTATTTTTAAAATATTTTTTATTTTTGATTTTTTTATAAATTTATTTAATTATTTATTAATATATACAATATTATATATAAAAAAATTAAATAAATAAACACAACCACCGGCTGTCCGATGAAGACAGCTGGTGCCTGAGACGGCCACGACCGTCTTTCAGATTTGGATGGAGGGCGACCATGGTCATCGCCCTCTGGAACGAGGGCAATCTAGTGCTAGGCGCCAGTTTTGTAGTGTTGGATTGCCCAGCACTAGATTGCCCTCGTTCCAAAGGGTGGCGGCCATGGCCTCTCTCCTTCCTAATCTGAAAGACGGCTATGGCCGTCGCAGAATTGACTGTCCGACGAGGACAGTCGGTGGCTATATATATATATATATATATATATATATATATATATATATATTTATTTATTTATTTATTTATTTATTTATAAAAAAATAATTTAAATCTTCTCAAAAAAATATTTAAAAAAGACACGTGTCAACCATGTGAAAATTTGACCTGTTAAACAAGTCACTTGGGACTTAATTCAATAATTTTATAGGTTTTTGGAGATCTGAATGGAGTTTTTTTAGTTAGGTGACCTAATTGCACTATCCGATCAACTTAGGATGCCAATTTAACCTTTTTTTCGTTTCTATATTTGGATAGAAATCATGTATATTTGTTTGATAAGGTTATTAATCGTGTGTATATGCTAACTTTTGTATTTGTGAGATTGTTAATCAAGATTGCCGTTAAATAGGGAAATGATGCATTAAATAAAAATAATAAAAATAATAAAAGTCATTTAAAATTGTGGATATGAATCATCTGTATTTATTTAATTTACTCTTATACATAAAAATATAAAAAGTAGAAATTATATCATATTCCCTTCTTCAAATACCTCTTCATCCTATTTTTTCTTGTCATGTCTTGTCTCCTTCGTCTTCGTGACCCACTTACTCAGAAATTAAAATCTTGTATTGCATGTTACGCTGTTGAAGTACTGTCAAACATTAATTTCTGCTAAAAGCTCTGGTCTCCAACACAAGCAGATCCGGTTTCAAGATTTGGTTGCCATTGAAACTATACTATCATTTTCTCCTGGATCGGAATGGGAAAGAAGAAGATGATGAAGTTCGCTTTTCTGACCAAAACCTCGGAGAAATGGCGGCCATGGCCAAGCTGCGCCATGTCTGGTCATTTAAAAACCCAGTCTTTTCGAGGAGATGGAGATAATGGAATCTTCAAGATCCTGAACTCTGCTTATAACCTAGATTCCACCGGAGACCACGATTCTTCTTCGGTGAATAGTGGGAAGGGTGGAGGGTGTTTGTCAATGGCGTCGTATGAGCAGTTGGGTAGTGATTGCGTAGAGAAGGTGATCCGAGGGTTGAGGTCGGAGAGGCTGGTTTTTAAGCCGGAAGAAACCAGCTCCATGGTGGTGGAAAGCGCCGCCGGCGGCGGCGGCGGCGGGGAGAAGTTTCCGTTGAAGGAAAGCGTGGCGATGGCGATGGACTCGACGGACCCGATTATGGATTTCAAGAGATCAATGGAGGAGATGGTGGAAGCTCACGATGGGGTCAAAGATTGGGAGTTTCTTGAAGAGCTTTTGATTTGCTATTTGAGAATAAACGGGAAGAGCACTCATGGGTATATCGTCGGAGCCTTTGTTGACTTGCTGGTCGGCCTTTCCATCGACGCCGCCGCCGCCACTGACGCTGAGACCACCGCCGCCGCCACCACCGTTGCTTCTTCTTCGTCTTCATCCTCTAGCGGCGATGAACATTGTTTGCTGTCTTCATCAACTATTGACCATAATTCATTCACTTCTCAATTCTCTTTTACTTCCTCTGCCACTTGTTCAACTGGTCCTTATTTTTCTCTGCAAGAAAAATCTCATGAAGATGAGATAATGGAGAAGTCTGCTTCCATAGACCATGCCTCTTCTTCTTCTTCATCACATCTAAGTTAGATTATTCCATCTCCATATGAATACAATGCTAGACAATATATGTACATTCTTTACTTCAATTCACTTTATTTTTTGGGATGGACTAACATTTTTTTTTTTTTTTCCTTCTATTTTATTTTATTATTATTTTTTATCAAAAATCACTGTCAGACAAATTAAATTTATCAATAAAAAACTTTGTAGATAAATTACCGAAATCCATAAGAGCATCCACACTAGTGGATAATAGGGAGATATTTTAGTTTGCATTCTTTCCTACAAGAGATAATAGCTAATGTGGAGGGGAGATAATTGGGAAATATTTATCCTGCAAATGAAGGCATATTGTCAGAAAAATAAAAAAAAAAATTAAAAAAGAAGCAAAGTTGTGCGCGAAACACAGCCTTGGGCAAAAGCCGGGCGCGTGCAGTTGCATCAGGCGCGCCTGACAGCATTAATTTTTTTCTTTTTTTAAAAAAAATCAATTTTCTCTATTTTTTTTCTTTTTTTTTTTTTCTTTCCCCTCCCCCATTCTCTTTCCTAATCACTCTTACATTATCTCCACATTCTTCCCAACTAATGTGGATGCTCTAAGTACTTAAATTTTCATTGAATTTCTATCGTAAAACACGAAAATTCATAAGCATTTAAGTTATAAATTAATGTACTTAATTTTCCATTGAGTAACTCGTAAGCATTTAAGTTTCTTGTAGTAAATGTTATTTTGAAAAAACTTACCCTTGAAATACCTAATCCTATTTCTATAACATACTAAGACAGAGACTAAAATCAGATTGCCAATAACCTTGTGGTCTAGTGGTATGAAGTGGTTCTTCGATATTAACTTTTTATGCTTTAGGTTGAGAAAATAGATACTACATTATAACATATTCAGGAGTATTAGAAGAAAAAGAACTAAAACTAAATTAAAGTGTTTGTTTGAAATTCGATGGAATATTAATTTGGGGCAACATTATATTGAATTATTGACTATATTAATGCTGCAGCGTTATTTCATTGGAATGAGTAAATGAAAAGGAGGTTGCTTCAACGGCATTTGGTTATGACTGCAATGCTGAATTCTTAATTGCTGTTTTTTTTTTTTTTTTTTTTTTTTTTTTTTTTTTTTTTAAGCAATTGAATTTATTATTTAGAATCCAACAGAAAAATAATCAATATGACACTTGTTTATACGTGACTGTGCAACATCACCTGCAACAATGCATACTAACGTTGGGCCATTTAATGAGAGAATCGAAACACATGGCCACCTTCGCAGGAAACATAAATGTTGTGCGATGATGAATGATCACAGCCCTCCCTGGCTAGATCCATTTCAAAATATTGGCCTGCCTGGGTGGTCACTTTCACTTGACACCAACCATTCTGGCATGGGGTGGTTTTTGTTGAGTTATCATGATTTACATCCTCTCAAATGCTCTGTCGAGTCGGGATGTGGGGGGCCCTTAGGGTTGAGGTTCAGCCTTTTGGAAGAATATAATATATATAAACATAAATGTACAGTCCAACTATCAGCTTAGACTTTTAGTTGAGATGGAGCACATGTTTCAATTTGGTAAGAGCCAGACCAAAGGTCCTGGGTTTGAATTTTCACTGTCACCCGATAAAAAAAGATACTACGATGCATGTGCCGGTGACATAAATGTGCAGTCCAACTATCAGCTTAGGCTTTTAGTTGAGATGTAGCACATGCTTCAATTGTTTTAATCTAATATTTTTTGTATGGTTTTTTTTTTTTTTTTTTTTTTGAAATTTGGGTGGTCCAACTGTTTGGCTATTGTTGTCGATCTGAATCTCTGCTAAAACATGATCATACATATAAAACCTAGATTTTGATATAAAAATGAGAAAAAGGTGTATATTATGTTTTATTTCCCTATCACTTTTTACTTTTTTAGGGTACTTCGCTTTCGTAGTCTGTGTATAAAAGAGCCTAGTTTCTTCAAATGTTCGTCTGATCCATGTTTTGATACCATTAAATGGGTTTAATTTATTTAGAGGGAAAATGAGCCCTATGGCGTTTGATTGGGAAGAAGGAACTAGAAAAGAAAGAAATTGTAATTTTGTAGAAAAATAATAAGGTGGAAATAAAGTATGAATTCAAATTACATTATTTGGTATGAATGAATAAAATTATTAGGAATGGAAATGGAAGAAATGATATAAAAACTAAAATGCCCTTGTGGTGTAATAATAATAATAATTGAGGACAAATATGTCAATTTCCCGTTTATGTCGTTAACTTCTAAATATTAAAAAAACAATAAAAAACTCTCTATTTCGGATGTACTAATTGTATAGTAGAATACACATAAACTCCTAACGTAATATACATAATTTAACATAATAAATAATACACATAAACTCTTAACATAATACACATAAACTCTTAACAGAATACACATAATAAACACAAGTGTTAAAAAAAAAAAAAAAAAAAAAAAAACTGTAACGGGATTGGACAGATGGAACGGTGTCCGTCGCGTCAACTCCCCGCACAACTTATAAAACCAACGTCATTTTAGGCCTGGACATATAATGCATTATGCGCCCTGGTACAGAATATAAAAATTGATAACATAATGGAGTGAGATAGTGGGCCCTGGCGTGGGCAAGAGCCCAACTTGCCTACAGCCCGGCCTACAAGCCACCAGAAAGGAAGATTCCTATAAGTTGTAAGTGAGTCTATAGGCTTAAAGACAAGGTAGGGAAATTCCTATAAGTTGTAAGTGAGTCTATAGGCTTAAATACAAGTTAGATGGTTCAATAAAACGATACAAAGCAAAGCTAGTTGCTAAGAATTACAATAGTTATGTTGTGCAATCCTGTGCACCATGTATAGTGCACACGGTTACAAAACAACGTTGTTTTGACTAAAAACGCGCCTCATTTAAAAAAAAAAAAAAATCAGTTTCGATTCCCCTCAAAAACATTATGTTGTTCATTTATTGTGAATATTTAGTTCATTCATTGTGGATATTGTGTTATTCATTCACTGTGGATATATAGTTATGAATTTGTGGATATACAATTCAAATTATGTACAATAAAATGCTATTGCCGGGAATCGATTTTTTTTTTTTTTTTTTTTTAAGTGGGATACACGTTTTTAGTCAAAACGACGTCGTTTTTGCAACCGTGTACACCATACATGGTGCACACGATTGCAGAGCATAATTTGCGTAAGAATTACGTTACAATAGTTTGGTGTGGATTACTTGAAAACTTTTTCACAAACTACTAATGTGTAGATTATATCATTGTTTAGTAAGTGTACACGCATATATCTAGAATTTAGTAATAGTAATATTTTAGTTGTGATATTAAGGGGATTTAGAGGCTTAGAGCAAGGAAAACTGATAGATATTGGCAAATTATATCATGCAGCGCGGTGCATAATAGATTATGAACCAAGCTTCTAATTAAACGACCTCGTTTTGTTTAATGAAATGAAACGGCGCCCATTTTACGTCATTCCGCAAAAAGTAACTCTGTTATTCAGTTTCATTTTGTATACACTGCAATTTTATTTTGATATAACTACAGTTTCATTCGCTATTTGTACACTCAAATATGTGAAATGTTATTTAATTTTATTTTATATACACTATAGTTTCATTAAAACACAACTACATGATCATTTCGATATAACTACAGATTCATTGCACAATATACACTCAAATATGTGAAATGTTATTCAATTTCATTTTATATACAATGCATTTTCAGTTCAACACAACTACAATATCATATTGATATAACTACAGTTTCACTAGGTAATATATATATACTCAAATATATGAAATTGTTATTCAGTTTCATTTTGTATACACTGCAGTTTCATTTCATTTCAATTGCAGTTTCACTTGATAATATAAAAATAATACGTGAGGCAGTGTCTGTTTAGATACACTTAGTTTCAGTTGGTAATTAATACACCAAACATGCGCGCTCCGTTAACTGTAATGGCGCTGTTTCTTGACCGCGGTGTGCACCGCGGTCCACAGTATAATTGTTGATGGGATTTGATGTGGGCAAATGAAATTATGGCCCTGTTTGGTAAAAAGTTGGCCTATAGGTCAATTTTGGCTTATTTGACCACTATTAATTGTTTGATTTAGTTAAAATATCAATATAAATGTTTGGTTAATTAGCTTTTTACAACTCCAAATGACTAAAATTGAAAAAGCTACCCCAAGCAACTTTTTCAATTAGCTTTTTGAGAAAAGAAATTATACCAAACAGCTAACATTTAACAGCTAATTTACCAAACACTTTTCTACAATCAACTAATGTTATCAACTATTTATACCCTCTAATTAACACAATCAGCTAACAACTAACAGCTATCAACTAACAGCCATTTTACCAAACAGGGCCTATATATATACTAGTGTAGACCCATTTCCCTTTTAAATGTGGGACAAAGCTTCCTTTTAAGCTTTTCCCCCTTCATTTTCCAACTCATTATGTTTACTTTGAGAGTCAAATTCTCATTCACCTATTACTCGTTTTGAGTGTACAATATATCAATTTTTTCATACCACTTCAAATAACTTGAATCCACCTATATATTTGTACTTCAAAATAACAACTTAAAATCAGTGGCGGAGCTACATTAGAAGGTAGGGGGTCCTGGCCCCCCACCCCACCCCACCCCACCCCACCCCTACTCTCACCCTAATTTTTTTTAGTAAATATGTATGTTAGTATATATTGATATAGTAGGGATAAAATACACTTTTGGCCCCTCTAATTTAAAACAAAAAAAAAAACAATCTATTATGTTTATATTAATTAAATGAACTCAAAATATATATTAAAGTTCAAATTCATTAAATAAAAAGAAATGAATTAATTAATTAAAGTCACCATTTTTTCTTTATTATCTTATTTCTTTTATCAAGATTTTAATAATGAGGGCATCAAGTATACATTTTTATTTCAAAAAAAAAAAAAATTCCAAATTTGAGATATATGCTTTAGTTTTGTTAGTTATG